AACACAAAAAAACCCCAATTATAAAAGATGATTTCCACCCCCCCCCCCCCCCCCACACACACACACACACACACACACACACTGTCTGTCCAGGGATCCTCCTCACCTCACAATCACAGGACCACACTGAGCAGGAGGGATCTTGGAACAGAGGTCGTGCAGCTCCAGCAGGTCACTGGGGGTCAATTCGTAAGGCTGTGGGGTAGGAGGGGTCACCAGCCAGCTGTAGTCGGCTGGGGTGGAGGAGTTGCGTCGGCGGCGTCTGCATTCTGTCATTCTCTCTAAACGGATGCGTTCAGTACGTTTCACCATGGCTCCCAGCTCCAGCATCAGAGTATTGGTTACCATCTCCTCAGCAGTGCGCTGGCCTGGGACTTTAGGCTCAACAGAGAAAACAGCAGACCAGGGATTCATCTGGGGGAAAGAATGTGAGAGTTGTAATACAATATTGTTTCAACATGAGATAATGTTTATTTATCCATAGCCAATTTGTGGCTACTTTTTAGCTTTTTCTATGTCAAGCATTAGCTTCTTTTCAAAAATATTGGTTACATTTAGAGAATCCTGTTGTTCATTTTGTTTATTTTAGGCAACTTCTGAGCTAAGAGCTATTTAAAAACATTTTCCATATTTGTATCTATTACTAACCCTAACTGAGTAAACTGGTTACTGCCTCAAATTACAGATCCAAAAATGATTAGTCTTGGAGTTAACCAACTAAAGGTCAATTGGACAATATTGGACTATACTGGTAATCTTGACATGCCTTGCGTTTTTTTCAATGCATCTGAATGAACATGCATAGGAAAGGCCAAGCATCATGTGTCATCTGGAGGAGGAACTGTTGACCTGCTGTATGGACACCAAACAAGGCTCCACTTGAAAACAAACATTTCTGCTTTGATCAATGCTGACTTACCTTTACGAAACAGTGTTTTTAAACCTGTAGTGTGATCTTGTCTGCTAACAGTCCACCTGTTTTGTAGAAAGGTCTACGTTAGCAGCTAAATGAGGAGCAGGTCTCCATGAATCAGTGAAGCTCCCCTGACTCCAGCCAGACTTCAGCACCAGGCTTCCTGACCGCCTCACTACCTGTGGCAGTCGGTGCATGCACTGAAGCATGTGGAGTGTGTGTGTGTGTGTGTGAATTTGGGATTGAGAATATATGTAATCCTGTATTATAACAAGACCAATTGATGAGATGAGCTAATCTGGTCTGTGCCTGTGTATGTGATAGAATTCATGTGGCTCCCATTACATAACAGCAGACATAATCAAGTGTATTTTTATCCAGTGCTCTTTCTCTCTCTGAGTGTTTCCATGATGAGTTCTCATATGTTAACAACAATAGCTTGGGTTTTATGCCTTGAGAATAAAAAGGTATTTTTAGGTCATACACGATCCTTACATTCATTTGTTATGTAAATGCCAGCCCAAGGCCAACATTCAACAGAGATTACATAAGTAACATTTACATGATCCAGACTGAAACTACTAACTTTTACCATCATGTCTAACACTAATACATAGTGTTTATATAGTCATACATGCAGTACATGAATGTACTGTATAAATGTTTTATGTAATGTTGTTATAGAAAGGTTTGTGGGATACTGCATCACTCAGCACTCAGGCAACAAATCCCAGATTATATCTAAATCCAGAGCCTCCCTGGAAAATGACAGGTTATAATGACTAGTATAATCTAATTATACTGCAGTTTGCTACAGTGGCAGCAATTACTGCAGCGGTATAAATAGCATCGGATGACTTTGTTTTTGTTTTCATTAACTTTTGAATGCAAGCTAAAATAATTACATTTTATTTTTGCATGGCATTAAAGAAATGTCACATCGGTTTTTGTACAACATCTGATCATTTGCACCAATCTCAAAAGGAGATTTGGAAAACAGTTTAAATCAAACCATCTGTATATCACAGTGACTCACCTCATCATTATTTTCATTACACATGTGGGTGTGCCGCTGATTGCTATTGTTGCATAGCATGCTCGTTCAACCGAGACAACAAAAGTCAGTTTTAAAAAACATGAAATGTCTGTGTTCCTGTTTAAACAAACAAATCTAGTTACACTGATACTGCACACACTGACAGAACTGTGGATAAATAACAGGCTTTACATGGGTTGAAAAATAGAGAAGAATTAAGAGAAAAATACATAAAGAATAGATTTATTTGTGTTAAGTATGTTAAAAGGTTCCCATTGCTTTTAATGGCCCTGTCATATGGATTGGACCATAGCTTTTAAGTTCCTTAAATTAAAAGAAAGAATACAATTTGTTGTGCACAGTAGTACATATAAACTCATGTATTGTCCAGTCGTGAGCAACGTTGGAACGCCATGTATTTTAAGCGTTACCACAAACAGAACGAAAGCCCTTTATTTTTTGCTTGAGATGCTATCAAGAAACTTCCATGTGACTCTGTATAGGGTGAGAAAACATTTTAATCACAACATATAACCTACCACTAGATGCTGCTAAACCTGAAGTACAGCTTATGTCGGTAGAGGTCATCAGAGGTTCACAGTGATGTGTTAGACTTCCTCTTGGACGTTCCCATGTGACGTCACTGTCCCGCCTCAATTTTCCGACCCGCCTCGTGCCACACAAACCGGGTTAGAGAAAGGGGCGCGCGCCTGTGTATGTGTGTAACGAATCCAGATTGACGGTTACTGTCAATTCATGCCAGTTGTTCGGATGTAGTTCTGTGAGTAGTCCTTGTACTTTACTCCCCGCCAGTAAAGACGTGGAATTTTACAGGACTTTTAAACAGAGTCTAAGGTCTGTGGTGGAGACTGACCAGCTGTTATCGGCTGTCTGTAGCCGCCTCAAAGTAAGCGGTAAGTGGCTGTTCAGTGTGTTGCGGTGGTGTCTCACTGTTAGCTTAGCATCCTGGCTAAATTAGTTGTCATTTGCCGGCGACTGGTTCTGTAAACGAAAGCAAACAAGTGGAAAAGTGAGTCGCATTGTTTAACTTATGCTCTCACTGACACCGTACACAGTGTCGTTTTTACCGTCTTAAACCTGAAGATTTCCATTGTTGTTTTGGATCCTCGTGATCACATATTCAGTCCAACCTCTGCATCCTAGCCCTCAACTGTCATCATTAACCCTTTCCTTTTGTAGCTGAAGAAAGGAGAATTATTATATTCACTATTGCCATTATATATTTTGCTTAAAACTGCCCCATTGTCTCTGTTTGGAGCAAACATTTGTGTTATTTCGTGCACACACGATTCATTGTGTTTGAGTTTTATAGTCTGTCAGAGCTGCCGAACGATTAGACAAACGTGTATCCAATCATTAAAGGCTTTTCCTCTGCACCTGTGACATTTCTTTTGTAATCCTTTGTTAGCTTTGTTGTTCATTTTAATACACGATGCTGCTCACTCTTCCTTGAATATTAAAACAAAATTGAAAACAAAAAACATGAAACAAGTAAATAATTAAATAACTTATAAAAACACCCCATGGCTATGGGCTATTTAAGAATAGACAAATGTAAAGTAGGACTACTCACTGTGGAAACACTCACATTCAAGCATGTATGTTTTGGAGACTGTTTGGAAATATACTATTTTTATTCAAAATAATATGATTCCCACAAGGACGTGGTGCAGATGGAGAAAGCAACAGGTGAGGAGGATTTTGACACAGAAGAGCCAAGATGTGAGCAGATAGAAGGCCAATCAAGTAGAGAGTTGGTTCAGAATTTTGCTTAAGATGGCATTTTGTAGACCTGTGCGTTTATATGAGCTTAGCTAATGTTCTGACTGTCTAGCTACACATACTTTCATTCAGGTTCTGTTTCCTGAAACAAGGTAAATAGTGACGCAACATGTTAACAATGACAGACACTATCTGACTACTGTTGCCGCATTTACAGCCTTGAGACTGGAATGCAAGTTAAAACAGAGATCAGAATCAAACTCTACAGGTTTGTTAAGGGTGTTATTGGCTGTCAGTCGGTTTTCAGTTCTGTCACTGACTCACTTTTATCACCAGTCCTGTGTGCTATACTTGTTTAATAAACAAGTTGCTGGTACTGCAAATGCCACGTTTGGGTATTTATTCAGGGACTGTAACACTGTTCTGTAAATGTAGTTTCTGCTCTAGTTGTAAAATTAGACTGTAGCGTGCCAGAGTGTGGTCAATTCGTCATACGGCCATTTTTAAAACAGTGTGACACTGTCTTTAATCAAAGAGCTCAAGGGTTGGAAGTAAAAATCCACAGCTGTATGAGCATTATTGAATACATTTCATTGTTGCATTACTTGTGCTGATAGTACTTAAAGTTGAATCTCAACTTTGTCAGACTTTACTAAACTATTGTAAATTTTAGTATTTAGTATTTCAGTAGATTCTGTTTTTATTCTCAAAACCCTGTCAGTAAATGGACAGGATGGAGAACATCTGCAGTGTTGCATTGCAGGGCCACAAATGTTACGCTGTTAAATTTTAAATTTGTGCTTTCAACATTTTTAAGATTTGGACACAAATGTTACTAGCATATAAAAGTCAGTTTCTGGAGCCATTTTATTTGCTGGAAAAGTCTGAGTTCCAGCTGCACAGCAAAAACAACAAGCGCCTCCCTGTGGGATCAAAGCCTTAGCAACATAACATATTCAAGGGAGGAAACACAGCTCGAGGGACAGACAAAGCCTTGTTTAAATAAATGTGTTGTGGATCAAATCATCTCTCACAACTTAATTGTCTGTCCATGTTTTTCTCTTGTTTCAGAGTGTGGATTCTTCACTGCAAATTCTCTGCTGATACCATATATACTATGCACCAATAGGAAAGGTTGGTTAGCATCAAGAATATATTTTATCATAAGGATGGAATGTTTATGAAGTGTATATTTGAAGTTTTTATTTGTTTTGTTTTTGTACCCCACACAGAGAGAGATGAGTTGGGCTGAGGAGGACTGGACAGTGGGCCTTTCAGGTCGAGTTCTGCAAAAGGTGAAGGAACTGCAGGTTCATCATGAGCGATTGTCCAGAGAAAACAAACAGAAGCAGCTGCAGTTGGACAACATCCAAGTGAGCCTTGAAAAACAGACTGTGAAGGTACCAGCGACAGTAACTTTGTTATAATACAAATAGTTAAACACTCAGTGATTTTTAGCCCAAAGCAAACACATCCTCTTCTTCTTTACCCAATAGTACGAGGAGGTGCGTGGGGAGCTACAGTTTGTGCAGAGAGATCTCCAGAGTGTTCGTGATGAGGCCAAAGCAGCAGCAGCCAGCAGGGAGCGCCTGGTCCAGGAGCTTCACACCAAACAAGCACAAGTTTGCTCTTTGGAGGGACAGCTTGATGCAACGCGTAGCCAAAACAACAAGCTCACTCAGGAAATCAAAAGGTTGGCAACACTACAAATAATTAGTCCTAATTGATGATTTCATTGTTGATACTGTAGTGTTTATTGCTAATATGCTGTTTGCATTGGCAGATTAGAGGCAGAGCTTGAGAAACTGCAGAACAGCAGCAAGTCTTCAGATGTCACTCTGTTTTCTACTCCATGCTGGAACACATCCTCACCCTGGGAACATAATGGTATGTTATGTTTTAATCTTTTTTTTGGCTTTATTTAGGTCATAAAAGCTACAAGATTCCCAAATGATTAGAGAAACTGTAAGTAAATAAATATTCTCTTCTAAGTCCTCTCCCAGCTGCTCACTCCTAAGGGACTTGTGCTGGGGACATTCTTTATTCTCATGTCAGTAAAACATTCAGGTCATTTACTGCTTGTCTCCATTCAGCATTGGTGACTGTTGTAAGCTGATCGTTCAAATCTCGATGCGTTGTTTTTGTCCTGTAGGTAGCAGGAGGTATGATGAGAAGTCGGGGACAAGAGATGAAGTTCAAAGCCAACATTCTCATATCAAGGTAAGTAAAATAGTAAAATAGTCCTCTTTGCTTTTGTTGAGTTAAACTGAGTCAAATTAGAGCCTGTGTAAACAAGCTTTTTGTATGAGTTGGCTCACTTAAAATCAAGTTTTTTTTTTCCAACACTGACTAATGAGATGCAAACATCTGTGCAGCTCTGTGTATATATATTATATTAATATATTTGATGTATATTGACTGTAAGCAGTTTGTGTGATAGTTGATCCTCATCCCTCCTCAGATGACAACGTTTGCTATTGTTGTTGCTTTAAATCATAAAAAGAATAATCCCTGATTGAACTATCTTTGATCAACTCTTTTCAGCAGCGACTGCCCTTCTCAGACATGCCCACAAGTTCAGTGTCAAGGCAACACAAGAGCACACCGCACCGTCATCCGTCTGACCAATCAGAGTCTTTTGCAACTCCCTCATCTGTTTTTCCATGGGAACGAGATGACACCAGGCATTCAGCCAGGAGACACTCACCGTCTTCTCCCCAGATGCCCTGCAGTGGCCTGTCACCACTGGAGCATTCTGGGAAGGAGAGGGATTCCAGGGCTCAGATGGATAGTGAGTATATCGTCAACTTATCCACATGGTTACAGGTCACAAATGGGTTTTAGCCATTTGCAGTTTAAAACACACCCACCCTACACTTTTATGTATTTAGCACAGCGGACTCAAATAACTCTAACTCAATATAAACATAAGACAGACCGGCCTGAGCCAGTGGACTGTCACAAGAGGCAGTCTTTTGTAAGGTTGATGATTGGGTATGCTAAGTGGTGAGCACCCGCTAGTCTCCGCAGCTTTACATCAACAACATTGTTACAAAATATGACATTTTCCATCCATTTGGAAACAAAACATTCCCAATTTGCTAAACTCAATTTATCCCACAAATTTTCCTTTTTAGCTTTTTAAAAGCATTCAATTTTAATTATTCTGTGGTTTATATTCAAGCAATATGTGCATTTTACAACTTGAACACATGCATGTTCAAGTTACACCGTTTGTATTGTGTACTACAACAACAGTTATTGCACAAGAGGCTGTGTAGAGAAGACACACCTGGAGACTCCAGCTTACTGCACTGTACAGCAGTGATTTCCAATCACTGTGCTGTGGCACCCTAGTGTGATGTGATTATTTTATTTATTTACTACTAATTACTATTAATTCACCATTTTTCTATATCATATAATCACCTCTCTATTTTGTGTTTTTCTGAGACGTGTATTCAGCACTAACTGGAAAACAGCAGTATGAAACACATTATCTAGACAGCACATTGATTTTCCTTCCTGACTGTAGAAATCAGCAGTCTGACGCCCACAGCCCTGGTGAATGTGCATTAAGTGACAACAGCTGTGGCTGTCAGTGAGACTTTGTATGGATTGACCTCATGTGTAATCACTCTGTGTTGCAGCTGTGTTGCTGACTGTTTCTATGTCGTGCCTGATAGCTGATTTTATTTACCCTCTGTTCTAGCAGGAATTTCCCTCTGTCAGGCCTGTCATGGGTTTTATACAGCATATACCTTTAAGGAACTGTGTTGTTGTGCAATATCTTCACTCCCACAAGAATACTTCCCTCTGGTTTTCTTGTTTCTCACTCAGTATAAAGTCCATTAGTGATGTCCCGCACACAATTTGTTTTCAGTTATTTCACTGTGGTTTTTGACAATTTGTTATTGTTTTGAAATTGCATTGGAATGTAATTTGAAAAGATTAAGAGAAATTAGTCTGTGTTTTATTCTCTTTGAGGTCTGTTTATACCTCTTCTGTCTACTCTATACTGCAGCATCGTTGTCAGAAATGCAGAGTCGTGTGTCTGGTCTGGAGGAGGAACTTTCGGCCAAAGTCAAGATGTTGAAGTCGATTCAAAGTGAAATGGCACAGAGCAAGAAGGAGCTCACGGCACGGGAGCTGAGTCTGCAGAAAGCTCGGGACGAGATCAGCATGGCACACACCCGCATCTCACAAGAGAGTCAACGGGTATAAACACACTTCACACCAAATGTTCATCTGGATGTTGTATTGGTTAAATCCCCCTTTAGATTACCTGCTGTGGCACCCACAGCAATAGAGGGGGTGAGGCTTAATATGATATCAGATTTAGACACATATGTACTGTCTGTATGTCTGTATCCTCCCCTCCCCCACTTCCTCCAACCTCCTAGCCATGATATTTAATACCTGTTGTTTGTAACTGAGCACAATTTAAAGGAACAAAATCAGTGGTACATCAGTATCTGTCAGTGTGAAAAAACAGCAAAGCAAAAACAGACCCATCTGTTTAAGCTGCAGTCTGTTATCCAAAGCTTTGTTAGTTAGGTTTCATATAATGATACAATAGTGAAGTTCAACCCTTGGCCAACAGCGAGAAGAGTGAATGCAACTCATTGTTATTAGACACACCATGCTGACTGCTAATCAGCAGTACAGTTTAAACAAAGGCGTCCCATGTGTTGATCTGCAGAAATAAACATTTCCAAATATTTAGGGTTGCTTCTCTCCAATTTGTAACTAATTGCTAAACAGTAGCTTTGGTATTTTGGACAAGGCTTTTTGTCGTCATAAGTAAATGATCTGATGTGTTTGTGTGTCAGGCATCAGGAGCTGAGCAAAAGCTGAAGCAGGTACAGGAGGAGCTGAAGTGTCAAAGGCAAAATGCAGAGAGCAGTCGACTGCAGCACCAGCAGAGAACTAAAGAACTGGAGAAACAACATCAGAAGGTAAGACGGAGGCAGGCGGGTGACAGATGCCTGCAGGCAATACTCAGCATGCACACATTTTGAATTACCTATTTGATTGTATTTGTCAGTGTTCGAGTTGAAGTCAGATATGAAGTGTGTTACCTGCAGGATATCACAGAGCTCCAGAAGGAGAGGCAGTTGCTGGAAAAGCAGCATCAGCAAGAGGTGAACAAGCTGAACCAGGAACTGCAGCAGGCCAGGACACTGCACAATGCACTGCAGGCACAGGCTGATAAGGTGAATGTCCACAAAAAATCCTAGGTCTGCAGAACATCATACATTAATAAACAGGGCCACTAATGGGCATGTCCAAAGCAAAATATTTGGAAAGTAACTAAATTAAATCACATGTGTTCGAACATTGGAACCTGAGAACTCAAATCTTCCATATGCTGTTTATGTTTGACCTCATAGGTCTGCTCTGTTTTTTCAGCTGTTTCCTTCTTTTCTTTTCCTAATTTCTCTGTCACCATCCCTTCTTTCTCTTCAGATCTTTATTTTTTCTATCAAAGAAAAACAGAATAGTTAGTTATCTCACATCTTCTCCTATGCTGGCTTCCTGCCTTGGTTGTTTTCTCTTACCCTTTTTCTCTCACTCTTTTCCCCCCTTTGCTCTCCCCACCTGCTCTTTTGTCCACATTGCCCTCCTCTGCTCTCCTCTCCAATTCTTTCCAGTGGAAAGGTTGATCGGTGAAGGTAACGGTATGACAGCGTGTGACAGGGCAGAATGCACTGGTTATGAAAGCATGAAATAAAGTCATAAATCATAACCAGCCTGTCTGACAAATTGTCACAAATTAAGGTGTGGAAGCATGGCTGCAGGATGAGGGTGAAGAGTGATGGAGTAATTTTGTGGTGCTGTGTAAATGAGGCAACTTGCATGTGTGTTGAAGTTTTCTCATGGTTGAACAGAGTCTCATATTTTGTTTTCAGTTTTTCTTTATTTCATAATTTCAATCATTGTTAAAAAATAAACACATGACCTTTCAGTCAACCCAGTGTCCTTGGACAACCTTACGTTATATCTTTGTGAATTTTAAAATAAAATATCTTTAAAATTATGTTCAAAAATTAACAACAACAAAAGCAGGTTTGCAGATTTTACACAATAAAAATCAAGTTTTTGTATTTTGTGGATTTTATCTATATTTTTACCTATGACAAACTAACTATTTTAAATAAATACAATACTACACCAATGTCTTAATTCTCTGCATTATGCCGATCACTGTTGGGAGACCCATCAGTTTCTTAAGTCTTTAGACTCCCCAGAGATGCAGAGAATGCATTAGACACAATAACTCATGTTTACTATTGATCATTGGTTGTTCTCCCGCTTCCTCTTTACATCAATACATTCCTGTGACTATAGCTTTTTCCTAAAGTGTTTGTTTCTCACCTCATAACTTAGATAAAATTATTCTGTTTTTTTGCACTCATCTGATTCACTCTGTCTTTGTTGCTGCTAAGTCACATTTTTTCCGTCAGCTCTCTTTGCAGAAACAAGCTCTGGACAAAGAGCTGGACACACTGAAGGAGAAACTAAAGTGGACAGAGGGACAACTGCAGGAGAGTCAGAAGAAAGAAGCTCAGACCCAAGGCAAACTAGCGGTACTGCACAGACACACTCCACTTTGACCTTCTATTCTAGTGGCCTACAACTATATTCACTGCTGTCACTAGCACAGCAGGAAAAGGACATGGTTTTGTAAATGCCTATTCTAAAACTTATTTCAATTTTATTTAATTTATTTTAATTATTTCAATTGGAATTAACTTCCATTCTTGCTTTCCTGATTCTGACAAAACATCTTTACCAGTACACTGTAAAAGAACTTTCAATACTGCAGAATTGTTCACTTGTTGGAACAACATAAATGTATTGCAGCTTTCATCATCAGCTGATGTTTATTTTTTGGTTTGTTGCTGCTGTGATTGTTTTGATCAAATCCGGTTTATTTTTTGGTTTGTTGCTGCTGTGTTTTGATCAAATCCATTCATGAGCACATTCTTATCTCCCTGTAATCATTATTCATTATTAATCATCTAACAGCTGATTTGAATAAATCTCTAACGACTGGATCCATTTGTTTTCCCTCTTCTTTCATTAGGAAGCACTGCGTGAAGCTGAGACTGTGACTGTGAGTCTGGAGCAGAGCAGGAAGCGAGAGCGAGGCCTAGAGGAAGAAAAGAGAAGTCTAGCAGAGGAGCGAGCCAACGCCCTGCGTCTCCTCAAAGAACTACAGGGTGAGGAGTGAGGAAATGTCCTGTCTGTCTGTCTGTCTGTCTTCATGGAGGCATTCGTAATTCAGTCTATTTAAACAGTTAGTGTATTAATTATGTAAGTACATTAATTATGTTCTTTTATTCTATAGTCTTTATACTTTTTTTTTCTTTAATTTATCAGGCCACAGTGCTGTCCCCTGCTGGTCCCTTTTTACATTACAATTCTTTCAGAAATTAAATGAAATGATCCAGTTTACTTTACTTGTCATACTAAGGCTCTGGTTGCTTAGGTCACATGAGTTTTTATTTATTTTATTTGATTTATCATATTTTTCCACATTATTTCTAGAGCAAAAAGCTGCACCACCACCATCCCAACAACCAGTGCAATTTCATTCCCAGCCGTCCTATGCACCTCCTCCTCACTCTTCAGATTGCATAAAGCGTCCTGCAGCTACTAGTCGACAAGGACAAAAGAAGAAAGAGGAGGACGTAGAAGAGATGCAAGCAGACATCTCTGCTCCTTATCCTTCTGACAGAGAGCCAGGAGAGGGCATCGACTCTGAAGACATCACTGTCCTCATCTCCCAAGACTCAGAAAGTTTAGGAATCAGGCGAAATAGTAACAAGGAGAAAAGACATGAAGTGATGGATTGTGATGGCTCCCAAACAAAGAACTCCAGCATTTCCAACCCTGCTCATGTTCTGTCCACCAACACCTCTGTGGACGTATATCATCACACCATGCTTCTTTCTGATGAAAAGTCTCTTAACCCAGAGCAGACCAAAGCGGATTTAGAACTGAAAAGGGAAAACACCATGCTGCGCTCAGAGATAAAAGATGTTCGTGAAGAACTCCAGAAACGACTGGAGGACCTGGAAACCCAAAGACGGGCTGAAGCTGAAACCAGGACCCGACTCAAGCAGCTCAGCCGCAAACATGCCAGTCAGACTACAGAGAAGCAGGAGCAGGAGAAAGAATGGAAGACTAAACTGGAGAGTGAGAAACTGGAGGTGGAAAGACTGAAGAAGACCATAGCTGGAATGGAGACAGAGATGAACAAAAGAAAGGAGGAAAGGGGGAAGAGGGAGATAGAGGAGGAAACTAAAGTCATGGAGGACAGAGAGAGTGAAATGATAGAACTGAATATCCAGCTGAAGAAGCAGCTTTCAGAAGCGAAAGCTCAGTTGGCTTTAGAGCGAGAAGAGAGACAGAGAGAGCAAGAGGAGAGGACCCAGCATGCAGATGTTCAGATGGAGATGAGCACGAAACTGGCAGAACTTCAGGCCGAGCTGGAAGAACTTAAACACAGTAAGGAAGAACATGATAAAGGAGTAGATGACAGACGGTTGCTTGCCAACAGTCCACTGGCGTACATGACTCTCCATGATGATGAGCTCAACTCCAACGTTGTTCACCATGACACCAAACCCCTCCTTTCTCCTGAGCAGCACCTCCTCTTCTGCCAATCCACAAACCAAATCAACACGCTTGTTTCTCAGGGAACAGATTTAATTCAAGGAGAACAACTGATGATAGAACCTAAAGGTTCACCTTTGTCAAGTTGTAGTCTGACTAGTCAAGAAGCCTTGGACCAGGAAGACACTGATCAAAATGTTCTTGAAGCAGCTTCCTTGTCTGACCAGCAGGAAGATGACTTTCACCTCCAGAAAAGTGAGTTTTCTCCCTCACATCTGGAAAAAGAGGTGACACACCTACAGAAGGAGAAGGCAAAGGAAACAGATCGTGCAAACAAGAACCAGGTGAAGCTTGAGGCTCTGCAGAGTCAGGTGAGTCAATAGTTTTTAGTTATTACTTTTTATATAAAGGCACAGTATTAATTCATGAGGAATACATAGACAGGTAAGTATTATGAATTAATATTTTAAACCAGATTTAAAAGTTCTCAAAAATAAAAAAATATATGAATAAAATAGACTTTTTTTTAATCAAACACAACTTCAAATGTTTTATACACAAAAAACTTCTACGAAGATGTTGATCTGTTTTGTCCACCAAAATGTGCATTTTATTTTATTTTTTTTATCTCTTGTCAGGTGACAAGTCAGACACGGCAGCTGACCAAGGCCTTTGAAAAGCAGAGTCAGCACATCTGCGGCCTTCTAGCTGAACTGCAGCAAAAAGAGATTGCCCTCCTCAGGCAGGGAGAAGAAATGCAGAAATGTAAGTTGGAGCTGGAAGCTTTAAAGGCTGAACAAGGGACTAAGAAAGATGAGAATCCTGGTTCAAAAGAAGACAAGGAGGCGGTGCAGTTCTCAGAGCTGGAGGACTCTGCTGCTCACCTCAACACTTCAAACTCACTGTCAGATGTGGATTTATCTGCACTGGAAAGTGAAGAGGACAATGAAGCCCTGTTTCTAGGAGACCAGTGTCCAGACTGTGACAACTCAGACAAGACTGAGAGTAATCAGGATTCTGCTTGTGTCACAGAAGAGACAGAGTGCAGTCAGGGAGGAGAAACAACTGCAGAGCTGCTCATCCTGAGACAGGAGAACCGGCTTCTGAAACAGAAAATAAAAGACTTCACTGTCTCCAACACCTGTGGACCAACATCACACACCAACACACAAGACACTGCTGTTCTGTCCTGTCCCACTGACCAGTGGATGTCCAGGGAGCAGAAAGACATCAAAGTGGAGGAGTCACTGCTGCCGAACCAGATGAGAAGTGAAGATGGTGCTGAGGAAGAGCAGGAGGACATGTCTCAGGATCTGCAGATCAAGAACTTGGAGCAGCAGGTAGTGAGAGTGAACTGTGTATTTACAGTACAGCTAGTTTACCAGCTTTCCTACTGAGTCACATGTTGTCCATTAGTAATAGACTAACTTACAGAGTTTTGATTTTTTTTTTTTGTTACTTAACTTTTTTAGATTATTTAATTAATTCAATCAAATTATCTTTATTTGGTTGATCTTTGCACACAGACACATTCTGACTCACAGCAGATGCTTCAGGTGTGTGAAAATAAACACATTCTTCAATGTACTGACAGGATACAAGTTCTTCTGGGATTTTGCTTTCATGTAGTTTATCTGGTTTCATCCAGGTGGTGGTGCTGCAGATGAGAGTTCAAGCTCTCTGCACAGAGACGCAGGAGCAGAGTGAGGAGCTCTCACTGTGGAGACTTTCCTCTCAGCCAACTGCAACATTAGACCAGTTTAAAGAACAGAACCAACCCTCGGCCGTCAAACAATCCCAGTCAGACCAGGAGCAGACAGAGGAGACGACACATGTCTCAGGTTCCCCCAGTGTGACAGTGGTCAGAGAAGACCAGTTGATTCTCTCCTGCTCCTCCAACAAATTGCAGGGACGCATGTTGTTCTCCAGGTAACACACTTGACCTCATGGCTCTCATATAAAATCTAAATGTGATGGATGGGTTTCATACTATTTGCAATAAAAGTAAATTTTCTGTTTTGTTTTTTTGCACACTAAAGACTGCAGTACAGCAACCTCCCTGAACCAACGGATTTGCATCACTCCAAAAAGACAGGAAACAGTCAGGAAACTGTTATCGTTGATCAGGTAATTAAAAGAAAAACTCTTTCATCTACATTAAATCCTAGATAAGATGAGATGAGGCTTCATTAAACCAACACTGGGGACATTCCTGACTTGATTTATTTTTTCCCCCAATTGTAGGAATCAGAAAAAGAAAACCTGCAGTGGTCAGACGTCTGCCCACCACAACACACCAACAAGAGCCTTGCTCACTTTCAAATGTCATTGGAGGGAACGGGTAAACATGTTTCCAAAGAACCCAGTAAGACCAAGCCAACAGAGGACCACAGGGATAACCCTGTGTCAGGACCAGACTCTGTCAGAACCTGTGATGAAACAAAGACAGTCAGTGATTCTTCAGAGAGAGCAGTGAGGGTGGGAGTGAAGAGTGTCAGCAGTCAAACAGAGGAGAGCCCCTGTCCTCCAGCACATGAACTTCACTCTGCCTACACACAGACTGAAGAAGAAATAGAGGAAATAGAATCACCTCCCGTCTCCCCCATCCCACCATCTGAGGGTGCAGAGTCTAGAGACAAGATGTTTACAGGTGCCTTTCCCATCCCAGCCGACCCAGCCCGTCTGGCTGAAAGGATCCGCAGAAACAGAACGCAGCTCTCAGCAGCCTTTGACGACACAGAGTACGAGCCATATGGACTGCCAGAGGTCGTCATGAAAGGTACGGTTATTTCTCCATCGGCCTGAAGGACTAATTCAAAACTGATCTAAAGTTTATTTTCCATAGCATTTGAACAGGAACTGATATTTAATTGAAAAAATGTCAGTTATAATCAGAATCAGAAGAAATATTAATTGCAATTATTCCAGTCAGAAAAGTCTCAATTCTTTTTTTATCTTCAGGTTTTGCTGATATCCCCACTGGTCCTTCCTGTCCTTACATCGTGAGGAGAGGTTTGTTAGGGACGTGTGTGGTACCGGTCTCACAGAAAGAAGAGGAGACTGATTAATAAACGTCTTTAGGTATTTGTCGGTACAGATGGTAGTGTGAAGATGATGCTGGTGTTTTGATTAAGATGTTTACTCTGGTGTTTTGTGCAGGTCAGTTAACTGTGGACATCAGTGATGAACTCCAGCTATTTTACAAAAACACTCCAGTCACCAGCAAAAAACAGCTCCCTCCCTGTGGGCGTCAGTGTCAGAACAGACACCTGTACTACTGTGGATCACTAGTTTGATTCTGGCTCTGATTGCTGTGTGCTGACTCTACATCCACCTGTGTTTAGTTGCAGAAGTGATCATTAAGGGATTTTTCTTGAGTGTTTGCGACTATGACAAAGGGACTGTTAAGTTTAGGGTAACTCTACATGAATGTTTGGCTACAACATCAGCCTTCTCGGAGTAAAACAGTGCCTAAGTGATGATTTTTTTAAGCATGCACTTGTCAAATGAGTTTGACTTGTTTTCCCCAGAGGGAAGGTCGAAGAAGGGTCTCCTGTGAAATGTGATGATGTATATGTTCTTTTTGTTCCTGAACTG